GAGACTTCAGTTAATAGTAGAAGACTTCAGTCAAAACTTGGAGACTTCAGTCATCACTAGGAGACTTCAGTCAACAGTAGAAGACTTCAGTCAAACTAGGAGACTTCAGTCATCAAAAGGTGACTTCAGTCATCACTAGGCTATTTCAGTCTTCACTAGGAGACTTCAGTAATCACTAAGCAACTTCAGTCATCACTAGGAGACTTCAGTCATCAAAAGGAGACTTCAGTCATCACTAGGAGACTTCAGTCATCACTAAGCAACTTCAGTCATCACAAGGAGACTTCAGTCATCACTAGGAGACTTCAGTCATCACTAGTAGACTTCTGTCATCGCTAGGAGACTTCAGTCATCACTAGTAGACTTCAGTCATCACTAGTAGACTTCTGTCATCGCTAGGAGACTTCAGTCATCACTAGTAGACTTCAGTCATCACTAGGAGACTTCAGTCATCACTAGGAGACTTCAGTCATCACTAGTAGACTTCTGTCATCGCTAGGAGACTTCAGTCATCACTAGTAGACTTCAGTCAACAGTAGGAGACTTCAATCAACACTAGGAGACTTCAGTCATCACTAGGAGACTTCAGTCAAAAGTAGGAGATTTCAGTCATCAATAGGAGACTTCAGTGATCACTAGGTGACTTCAATCATCACTAGGCTACTTCAGTCATCACTAGGAGACTTCAATCATCACTAGGAGACTTCAGTCATCACTAGGAGATTTCAGTCAACAGTAAGAGACTTCAGTCAACAGTAGGAGATTTCAGTTATCACTTAGTCATCACTTGGCTACTTCAGTCATCACTAGGAGACTTCCGTCATCACTAGGAGAGTTCGGGTCTCTCACTAGAACTTCGGGTCATCGCTAGGAGACTTCAGTCATCACTAGGAGACTTCAGCCAGTAGTAGGCTACTTCAGTCATCACTAGGTGACTTCAGTCATAACTAGAAGACTTCAGTCATCACTTGGAGACTTCAGTCATCACTAGAAGACTTCAGTCATCACTAGGAGACTTAAGTCATCACTAAGAGACTTCAGTCATCACTAGGAAACTTTAGTCATCACTAGAAGACTTCAGTCATCACTAGAAGACTTCAGTCATCACTAGGCTACTTCAGTCATCACTAGGAGTCTTCAGTCATCACTAGAAGACTTCAGTCATCACTAGAAGACTTCAGTCATCGCTAGGAGATTTCAGTCATCACTAGGAGACTTAAGCCATCACTAGGAGACTTCAGTCATCACTAGGCTATTTCAGTTATCACTAGGAGACTTCAGTCATCACTAGGAGACTTCAATCATCACAAAAAGACTTCAGTCATCACTAGGAGACTTCAGTCATCACTAGGAGACTTCAGTCATCGCTAGGAGACTTCAGTCATCACTAGGAGACTTCAGCCAGTAGTAGGCTACTTCAGTCATCACTAGGTGACTTCAGTCATAACTAGAAGACTTCAGTCATCACTTGGAGACTTCAGTCATCACTAGAAGACTTCAGTCATCACTAGGAGACTTAAGTCATCACTAAGAGACTTCAGTCATCACTAGGAAACTTTAGTCATCACTAGAAGACTTCAGTCATCACTAGAAGACTTCAGTCATCACTAGGCTACTTCAGTCATCACTAGGAGTCTTCAGTCATCACTAGAAGACTTCAGTCATCACTAGAAGACTTCAGTCATCGCTAGGAGATTTCAGTCATCACTAGGAGACTTAAGCCATCACTAGGAGACTTCAGTCATCACTAGGCTATTTCAGTTATCACTATGAGACTTCAGTCATCACTAGGAGACTTCAATCATCACAAAAAGACTTCAGTCATCACTAGGAGACTTAAGCCATCACTAGGAGACTTCAGTCATCACTAGGCTATTTCAGTTATCACTAGGAGACTTCAGTCATCACTAGGAGACTTCAATCATCACAAAAAGACTTCAGTCATCACTAGGAGACTTCAGTCATCACTAGGAGACTTCAGTCATTACTAGGAGACTTCAATCATCACTAGGAGACTTCAGTCATCACTAGGAGACTTCAGTCATCACTAGGAGACTTCAGTCATCACAAAAAGACTTCAGTCATCACTAGGAGACTTCAGTCATCACAAAAAGACTTCAGTCATCTCTAGGAGACTTCAGTCATCACTAGGAGACTTCAGTTATTACTAGGAGACTTCAATCGTCACTAGGAGACTTCAGTCATCACTAGGAGACTTCAGACATCACTAGGAGTCTTCAATCATCACAAAAAGACTTCAGTCATCACTAGGAGACTTCAGTCATCACTAGGGGACTTCAGTCATCACTAGAGACTTCAGTCTCACTAGAGATTTTCAGTCATCACTAGGGACTTCAGTCATCACTAAGACTTCAGTCATCACTAGGGACTTCAGTCATCACTAGGAGACTTCAGTCATCACTAGGGGACTTCAGTCATCACTAGGAGACTTCAGTCATCACTAGGAGACTTCAGTCAACAGTAGAAGACTTCAGTCAAACTAGGAGACTTCAGTCATCACTAGGAGACTTCAGTCATCATTAGGGGACTTCAGTCATCACTAGGAGACTTCAGTCATCACTAGGGGATTTCAGTCATCACTAGGGACTTCATTCATCACTAGGAGACTTCAGTCATCACTAGGGGACTTCAGTCACACTGGGGGAAACTTCAGTCATCACTAGGGGACTTCAGTCATCACTGGGGGACTTCATCATCACTAGGGGACTTCAGTCATCACTAGGAGACTTCAGTCATCACTAGGGGACTTCAGTCATCACTAGGGGACTTCAGTCATCACTAGGGGACTTCAGTCATCACTAGGGACTTCAGTCATCACTAGGGGACTTCAGTCATCACTAGGAGACTTCAGTCATCACTAGGAGACTTCAGTCATCACTAGGAGACTTCAGTCATCACTAGGGGACTTCAGTCATCACTAGGAGACTTCAGTCATCACTAGGAGACTTCAGTCATCACTAGGAGACTTCAGTCATCACTAGGGGACTTCAGTCATCCTTTGGAGACTTCAGTCATCACTGGGGGACTTCAGTCATCACTAGGAGACTTCAGTCATCACTGGGAGACTTCAGTCATCACTAGGGTCTTCAGTCATCACTAGGAGACTTCAGTCATCACTAGGAGACTTCAGTCATCACTAGGAGACTTCAGTCATCACTAGGAGACTTCAGTCATCACTAGGGGACTTCAGTCATCACTAGGAGACTTCATTCATCACTAGGAGACTTCACATCACACTAGGGGAAACTTCAGTCATCACTAGGAGACTTCAGTCATCACTAGGAGACTTCAGTCATCACTAGGAACTTCAGTCATCCCCTGGGGGACTTCAGTCATCACTAGGAGACTTCATCATCACTAGGAGACTTCATCATCACTAGGGACTTCATCATCACTAGGGACTCCAGTCATCACTGGGAGACTTCAGTCATCACTAGGGACTTCAGTCATCACTAGGAGACTTCAGTCATCATAGGGAACTTCATCTCACTAGGGACTTCAGTCATCACTAGGAGATTTCAGTCATCACTAGGAGACTTCAGTCATCACTAGGAGACTTCAGTCATCACTAGGGGACTTCAGTCATCACTAGGGGACTTCAGTCATCACTAGGAGACTTCAGTCATCACTAGGGATTTCAGTCATCACTAGGAGACTTCGTCACACTAAGGGACTCAGTCATCACTAGGAGACTTCAGTCATCACTAGGAACTTCAGTCATCATAGGGGACTTCAGTCATCACTAGGAGACTTCAGTCATCACTAGGAGACTTCAGTCATCACTAGGAGACTTCAGTAAATCACTAGGACTTCAGTCATCACTAGGGGACTTCAGTCATCACTAGGAGACTTCAGTCATCACTAGGAGACTTCAGTCATCACTAGGGACTTCATCATCACTAGGAGACTTCAGTCATCACTAGGAGACTTCAGTCATCACTAGGAGACTTCAGTCATCACTAGGGGACTTCAGTCATCACTAGGAGACTTCAGTCATCACTAGGAACTTCAGTCATCACTAGGGAGACTTCAGTCACACTAGGGGACTCCAGTCATCACAGGAAAGACTTCAGTCATCACTAGGGGACTTCAGTCATCACTAGGAGACTTCAGTCATCACTAGGGATTTTCAGTCCATCACCTAGGGACTTCAGTCATCACTAGGAGACTTCAGTCATCACTAGGAGACTTCAGTCATCACTAGGAGACTTCAGTCATCACTAGGGGACTTCAGTCATCACTAGGGGACTTCAGTCATCACTAGGAACTTCAGTCATCACTAGGGACTTCAGTCATCACTAGGAGACTTCAGTCATCACTAGGGGACTTAAAGGTCATCATGGGAGACTTCAGTCATCACTAGGGGACTTCAGTCATCACTAGGAGACTTCAGTCATCACTGGGGGACTTCAGTCATCACTAGAGACTTCAGTCATCACTAGGGGACTTCAGTCATCACTAGGAGACTTCAGTCATCACTAGGGGACTTCAGTCATCACTAGGAGACTTCAGTCATCACTAGGAGACTTCAGTCATCACTAGGAGACTTCAGTCATCACTAGGGGACTCCAGTCATCACTAGGAGACTTCAGTCATCACTAGGGGACTTCAGTCATCACTAAGAGACTTCAGTCATCACTAGGGGACTTCAGTCATCACTAGGAGACTTCAGTCATCACTAGGAGACTTCAGTGATCACTAGGGGACTTCAGTCATCACTGGGAGACTTCAGTCATCACTAGGGGACTTCAGTCATCACTAGGAGACTTCAGTCATCACTAGGAGACTTCAGTCATCACTAGGGGACTTCAGTCATCACTAGGAGACTTCAGTCATCACTAGGGGACTTCAGTCATCACTAGGGGACTTCAGTCATCACTAGGGGACTTCAGTCATCACTAGGGGACTTCAGTCATCACTAGGGGACTTCAGTCATCACTAGGGGACTGACAGGTCACGGAAGGTCAAGTGTTACTCACCTCCTCCTTGACTGAAGACGCTAAAGGCTCCATCTTCAACCTTCTCAAGTACCTCTCGATCTCAGCTCTCTGAAAAATTAATTTTTAATCGTGAGGGAGCGCTAAACCAGCAGGGAAATGGGAGACGTACAGGTATTCAACTCTCGTTTCAACTTCCATCAGTAGAGGAGGAAGTATTCCTCAGAGACAGGTGGGTGAGTAGCAGGGCCAGGAGCTGCGTCTCGTGTACCTCAAAGAACTAAGTAGAAAGCACGAAAGGTGAGTTTGTAGAAGACCAGCAGCTATAGTTCAACCATCTCATACACAACTATGTATGGAGGACCAGCAGCTATAGTTCAACCATCTCATACACAACTATGTATGGAGGACCAGCAGCTGTAGTTCAACCATCTGATACACAACTATGTATGGAGGACCAGCAGCTGTAGTTCAACCATCTGATACACAACTATGTATGGAGGACCAGCAGCTGTAGTTCAACCATCTGATACACAACTATGTATGGAGGACCAGCAGCTGTAGTTCAACCATCTGATACACAACTATGTATGGGGAGGGACCACAGCTATATTTTCAACCATCTGATACACAACTATGTATGGAGGACCACAGCATAGTTCAACCATCTGATACACAACTATGTATGGAGGACCAGCAGCTATATGTTAACCATCTGATACAAAAACTATGTATGGAGGACCAGCAGCTGTAGTTCAACCATCTGATACACAACTAGTATGGAGGACCAGCAGCTTTTAAGTTCAACCATCTGATACACAACAAATTGTATGGAGGACCAGCAGCTGTAGTTCAACCATCTGATACAAAACTATGTATGGAGGACCAGCAGCTGTAGTTCAACCATCTGATACACAACTATGTATGGAGGACCAGCAGCTGTAGTTCAACCATCTGATACACAACTATGTATGGAGGACCAGCAGCTGTAGTTCAACCATCTGATACACAGCTATGTATGGAGGACCAGCAGCTGTAGTTCAACCATCTGATACACAACTATGTATGTTAATGAAAAAATTAATAATTTTTACCAAAGGAACCTTAGAAAACTTACCTGACCTTATCATAACAACCGTAATTTAATTTAGCCTAATCTACTTAAATATATTTTAGATAAGTTTACAATAATTTAATAATAAACAAACACAATAAAATAATTTTTTCTCGTTAGGATCAGAATGATTTTTCCGATATTATTGCATACACAAATTTTCACTTGTCTTATTCGGCAAGAAGAGCGTTGTTATTTAATCCAAAATCGCAAGTTTTACCTATTCGACACGACCCCCACACACACAAATAGGTGAATACAAACTGCAATTTGTCAAAATACTATCTGAAAATTGCTTCGAGAATTAATGGTCAGGTGTTCTATGGCAATGATATACGACACTGACAGGTTAATGAGACACAGGTGCAGCACTTAGGTACCTAACTGTTAGGCATGTATCTTCTTAACCGTGTCCCATTGCTTCATCGTTAGCGCACTCGCCTCACGCACTGAGGTCCGGGGTTCGAATCCCCTCCGGTACGGCTGGAAAACATTGGGGACGTGTTTATATAAGACACCTGCTGTCCCTGTCCCTGTTCACCCATCAGTATAATGGGTACCTGGGTGGTAGTGGACTGGTGTGGGTGGCATCCTGGGTGTTAGTGGACTGGTGTGGGTCACATCCTGGGTGTTAGTGGACTGGTGTGGGTCACAACCTGGGTGTTAGTGGACTGGTGTGGGTCACATCCTGGGTGTTAGTGGACTGGTGTGGGTCACATCCTGGGTGTTAGTGGACTGGTGTGGGTCACATCCTGGGTGTTAGTGGACTGGTGTGGGTCACATCCTGGGTGTTAGTGGACTGGTGTGGGTCACATCCTGGTTGTTAGTGGACTGGTGTGGGTCACATCCTGGGTGTTAGTGGACTGGTGTGGGTAACATCCTGGGTGTTAGTGGACTGGTGTGGGTCACATCCTGGGTGTTAGTGGACTGGTGTGGGTCACAACCTGGGTGTTAGTGGACTGGTGTGGGTCACTTTCGGGGTGTTAGTAGACTGGTGTGGGTCACATCTTGGATGTTAGTGGACTGGTGTTGGTCACATCTTGGGTGTTAGTGGACTGGTGTGTCGTGTGGGGTTCGGTAAGGAGACAAGAGGGTTGGATGGTAACGATATATATTGTCAGACTGTGGTAATGGGAGATGGAGGGAGCCCAGCCTGCCGTGTCCTGCCTTCTTCTATGCCTATGCGTCGACTGAGACCGAGGTAGCCTGTCCCGCTCACTTATGGAGCATCCTGTGACGTCATGCAGTCACAGGCCTATGGGATCTTCTATATACACACATGGATGGTACTATAATGCTCATTTAATCTATGCATACAACACATGTAAAGGAGGATCAGCAACTATGCTGACAGCTCGGTCATGTTACGTATGTCGTCCCGACATACACTACTATCCTATAGGCTGGACAAACAGGTGGTTCTGGGCTGATTCTATTCAATAACAAATTCATATATAACTTAGAACTAATGGATGGTATCATAATGGATGTTAATAAAATGAAAAAGACACTTATGTACAGTTCAGAACATTTATTAAAGGAAACGCTTCGCCACGAGTGGCTTCTTCAGTCCTAATACAGAGAAAACTAAGAAAACATTTATATATATAGTGGCAGGAGTCAGGTGAGGTGACGCGTGGGTAGAGGTGGTGGTAGTAGTAGTAGTAGTAGTAGTAGTAGTAGTAGTAGTAGTAGTAGTAGTAGTAGTAGTAGTAGTAGTAGTAGTAGTAGTAGTAGTACTAGTAGTAGTAGTAGTAGTAGTAGTAGTAGTAGTAGTAGTAGTAGTAGTAATGGAACTAAGGAGGTGAGGCAAGAGAGGGACCTGCTGGCATCAAGTAACACCAGTTCCCAGGATGGGTAATATCCTCTTGCTTAGTAATTTTGAAATACTGTAACTACCGGATTTTTGCTTTATAGTGTTACTGACAGAAATTAGTGCAGCTTCAATGCATTTTCTCCGTCTTAAGTCGTCTTCTTTAATAACTAGTTTAGCTTCATTGAATTTCATGAGGTGTCCAACATCGTCTCTATGTTGAACACATGCATTTTTGCGGTCATCATTTCTGCAAGCATTTTTGTGTTCTGCTATCCTAATGTCCAGAGTTCTGGCTGTTTCCCCTACATATACTTTGTCACATCCCCCACATGGTATAGTGTAGATTCCTTCACTTGTGCCAGAATCATGCTTGGGTTTTTGTATCAGGTTCCTAATAGTAGTTGAAGAGCTGGTAGATATTTTAGCCAGTTTTCTGTCAAACATTTTTGAAACATTAGTGGCAACGTTGCCGACCGGTAAAACGATGTAACTTGGAGGCTTTTCTTCAATTTGATAGGTGTTGGTCTTGCTGAGGATACGTGCCTCACGTTTCCTACAGTCACGTACGAAGTGTAGGGGAAAGTGCAGTGAACTAAAAGAGTTGGTGATGTATGTACATTCTTCTTCGAGGAACTGTGGACTGGAAATTCTGTAGGCTCTCAGAAAGAAGCCAATAACTACCCCTCTTGTAGTTCTTGTGTCATGGTGAGAGAAGAAATGTAGAAGATCATTCTTGTAGGTAGGCTTCCGGTAGACTTTAAAAGTTTATTTTCCCCTGTGCGTAAGAGAACGTAGAGAAAAGGTAATTGGTTGTCCTTCTCATCCTCTAGTGTAAATTTAATAGTAGGTTCCAGAGTGTTGATGGTGTTGAGGATGCCCCGTACGTCAAGATTTTTGGGTACAATGACCAAAATATCATCTACGTACCGCATCCATGTAACTGAGCGAGGGATGTTACTGAGGATCCTTCTTGATTCCAGGTCCATGTGGGGGGTGTGACAAAGTATATGTAGGGGAAACAGCCAGAACTCTGGACATTAGAATAGCAGAACACAAAAATGCTTGCAGAAATGATGACCGCAAAAATGCATGTGTTCAACATAGAGACGATGTTGGACACCTCATGAAATTCAATGAAGCTAAACTAGTTATTAAAGAAGACGACTTAAGACGGAGAAAATGCATTGAAGCTGCACTAATTTCTGTCAGTAACACTATAAAGCAAAAATCCGGTAGTTACAGTATTTCAAAATTACTAAGCAAGAGGATATTACCCATCCTGGGAACTGGTGTTACTTGATGCCAGCAGGTCCCTCTCTTGCCTCACCTCCTTAGTTCCATTACTACTACTACTACTACTACTACTACTACTACTACTACTACTACTACTACTACTACTACTACTACTACTACTACTACTACTACCACCTCTACCCACGCGTCACCTCACCTGACTCCTGCCACTATATATATAAATGTTTTCTTAGTTTTCTCTGTATTGGGACTGATGAAGCCACTCGTGGCGAAACGTTTCCTTTAATAAATGTCCAGAACTGTACATAAGTGTCTTTTTCCACATCTTGTCGGTATCACCATACCATTTCCTCCTTAACAAAATGAGTTTTACGTAATGGGTGTTAACGTAATCACTTTTAACGTAATGCATTACAACTTATAAGAACAAATCATTGTACATTATGGGATGGAATTGATCGATTGATCTGTATTCATGCACTCTACGGATTCTGAGGAAATAAATATATATTATATATATATACATTATATATATTTTTATATATATATATATATATAATATATATATATATATATATATATATATATTATATATATATATAAATATATATATGTATATATATATACAAGGTGAAATTAACAGCAAAGGCATCTGGTGCACTCAGATCTTTACTGTCAAATTCTCAGAATACAGAGGGTACGTGAACACGAAAATTTCTGACAAACTGGGTGTTAGTGGACTGGTGTGGGTCACATCCTGGGTGTTAGTGGACTGGTGTTGGTCACTTCCTGGGTGTCAGTGGACTGGTGTGGGTCACATCCTGGGTGTTAGTGGACTGGTGTGGGTCACATCCTGGGTGTTAGTGGACTGGTGTGGGTCACATCCTGGGTGTTAGTGGACTGGTGTGGGTCACATCCTGGGTGTTAGT